GAAACCAGGGAAATTTGCGTGCAATTTCGAGAGCGTGGAACACTGTCATTCAACGTAGAGCACTGCACCAACCTTCTTTCCAGTCTCTCAAGAAAGGTGGTGCCAACTTACCCCCCCTTGGGCTGGGGCCCTGGGAAGAGATCCGGGTTGGTTGGTTGGTGTTCCCCCGTACTATACATAGACTAGTGCGAGGATGAGATAGATGCGTACTACCTAGAATGATGAAATAGATGAGAGGGAAAAAACAAAGAAAACAGAACAGAAAAATAATGAATATGAGAGAAGAACATAGCTTACCTTTCATAAAAAAAAAAAAAAAAAAAAAAAAAGCCCGTCAACCCTTCGAAGAGTCTTAAAATTTTAAGCAATTACGAACTGTCCTGACAATTCGAAGCACTTCTCACGCATCCCGCAGTCAATTCATATATATATATATATATATCGTCACAAACAGAACTGCCCGGTAAACCGTAGCCAGAGAGAAAGAAGAGGACAACAAACGAGGGGCTGTGACAAACTGTTTCGTCGAAGTTTCACCGACTCATCAGGAGGCTGAACCCTCAACAGTCTGCAGAATCCCCTCACTGATTACACTGTAAATGATAATCTACCTATATATATACTCTTAGGAGCACTAAGTGCAGAGCGCTCTCAGCGACCCCTATCAGGAAAACCTCAAGGTATTCCAACTGACATAAACTTCACGATTACACACAACAGCGCATCTAGTCAAGAGAGTTACAGTAATGTAAATGTAAGATTGCATTATTGAAATTCAAAATTTTATTCAATATTATTGAATAAATTCTATAAAATACATTTGGTTATTCAAATATATATATATTGGATATTTTTATTTTATATTTGGGTATTTTTATTATTTATATTTATTATTATTCTTTATTATATTCTTGCAAATTTTCTATTTTTTCTAAGTTCAATTCAATTCTTTAACGCATAGCGCATCTACTCAAAGAGAGTTACACACATAGCGCATCTACTCAAGAGCGTCACACGCATCAATGGTAGTCAAATCCCCCTGCGCTTTCGCCCATGGGGGAAATTATTGACAGTTCAAGAACAGAGTGTATGGGGTAATCATGTCATGATCACATCTCGCATCCAAAATTGAATGAGATTCGCCTCAAACGAACCGCCTACCTTTCTCGGCCTTTTGGCTCTGTGGTCCATCGGGCCACAAAAAAAAAAAAAAAAAAAAAAAAGTAAGGCAACCATTTCACAATGTGAGAAAGAAATCAGGTTATGTCTCGTCTGATGATTCTAGTCTGGTTGGATTTTCTTACTTGGCGTATTTATTGCCTAAGGAAATTTTAATTCTTCCGAACGTGAATCTTGTTACGTTTGGGAAATATTTCACAGTAGTGGGAAAAAAAGAAAAAGAAAAAAAGAAAGTAGAGTCTCACGATCGCGGTCGCTCATACGCAAAAAAAGAAAAAGAAAAAAAGAAAGTAGAGTCTCACGGTCGCGGTCGCTCATACGCCACGACTTGGCGCAGAAGAATCTCGTTCCCCATGGTAACAAGGAGACCGGCCTTGACGAACGGCACACGAAACGAAAAAAGAAAACGAGTGCATATGCCTACAGAACGTGACCAAATACATTTCTTAACTTGTGGTAAATAGATGACATTGCATCTGCCTACATAGTGTGACCAAAAAAATACACTCGGAAAAGTAATAAGACCTCGCCCCCGCGACGAAACCTTTGTATCCATTTCCATTTTCCCCCAAACGGGGAAAAAAGTGCTGCAGGTCCCAAAATCACTTTTGCGCCCAAGAGCCTACCGTATTCCCCCGAAAATAACGCACGCTGATAATGAATGTATACAGACTATATTTCCGTCCCGATGCAGTCAAAATGATGGTGCGTTGTGTTCGGGGGAAGACGGTAGCTCAGCTCAGTGGGTACACCCATGAAGTGTTGAAAATAGTAAAATACAGACCCGTGTTCGAATCCAGATGACGGAACTTGATTGATGAGTAAAAGTTGTAAAACCAACTATTTCTGAATTGCCTGGTGCCGGTCGCTTAATGATGATATCTCAAGGTCGTAACGGCCGCTGTCTAAAAAAAAAAAACAAACACTTTTGCTGTCATTTTTTCAACCTGGCTGGGCGGGTAACGGCCGCTGTGTAAAAATGTCGGGAAAGTGTTTTGCAGGGTGCAAAAATGACGCCGAAAGCGATTTTGGGGCCTGCGGCACCTTTCCCCCCCGTTTCTTTCCCGGAAACCGCTACAAAGGTAGGTTTCGTCGCGGGGAGGTTTTATGACTTTTCCCCCTCTTGCGTAACTCGTTTATAATTTTATAGTAAACAGATGAACTATGGACGCAGTCGACACCCACATTTCACATTTCCCTCCTGAACTATCAATCGTTGCTGGCCGTTGATTTTCATAAGCAGCGGCCTGAAATGAACTATCCTTTTTTTTCCAGCCAGTCTGCGAAGAGTGTTATGCCTAAACTGGTTGCCCATGATTTCTGTAATGTGCGGGCAGAAATGTAGCTTCGCAAACGATGGGCCTCGCTCTACTGCTCACCAAATGCACAAAAAACAAAAATCACCACATGCACAAAAGCTAAAAAAAAAATCGGTGTATCTTTTCATGTTCTACGGGAAGATTCGTTGATAGTGAAGGGAGACCCGATGTCTTCGCGGCTACTGCAAGTTGTTAATATCGTTTGGTTTCTTCATTTTGTCAGCATTCCGCGACATTTAATTTTGAAATGCAAACAAGACTGAGGGTGAGTAATTGCCTAAGGACTAAAAAGAGGCACTGAGCACACAACGAGTACCACCGAGTCCTAAAAGAGCAGACAATGACGAAAACGTACCTTAATCCAAACAAGAGAGAGAGAGAGAGAGAGTGATTAATTGCCTTAGGCCTAGTACAAGGCAGTAAGCACACAACCGATACGAGTCCCAAGAGCAGACAATGACGAAAGCACACCTCACCACAAGAGAAGCGAACGATGATCGCAAAGCCGAGGTATAATTGAGAGAGGGAGGGCATATGGTGCCATGCGCTCACCCTGGTGGTTTCCCGGCGAGGGGGGAGGGGGGAAGGCGGAAGGGGGAAGGGGGAGGGGACTTCGATGAAATGTGGTTCACAAAAACGCAACCAAATAGCATTAATTTAAGGAAAATCCACAGAGATGGCAACCACAACTGAAATGGCACATAGGGAACCAGATAAGCAGCAATACCTACCGCGTGGCTGTCTAGTCCACTCGGTTATCACCCAAATCCCGTTATAAACCAGAATCATGGTCAGATCCTGTTATAAAAGAAAATCATGTTATAAACGAAAAAAATCATGTCATAGATGAAAATCATGTTACTACGTACGCAAAGAGTTCAAATCCTGTTATAAACGACAATCACGGTCTGACTCGGAGCTCGTCCTGCTGCTGCAAAGTCTTGCCCCGAAAACAACTTACCGTCGCTAACATTCACGTCAAATTATACAACCGTCAGATTATACGACAACGACCTTATGACCCTACATCTACCGTCATTTCCCAGGTCTTCGCAAATTCTGAAACCCGACAAAATTTGGATCATTTCTCGATAGATGCGTGTCATCCTACATTCATCGTCATTTCCCAGGTCGTCGCAAATTCTGAAACCCGACAATTCACGTCAAATTATACAACTGTCAAATTATACGACAACAACCGCATGACCTTGGAGCGACGCCTGGGCCTGTAGTACCCCACATGGAAGTCATTGGGCCGGTAGTACCAAACGGCCGAGTTTCGGGCGCCCAAAACCGGTTTTGGCGTGGGCGCTTTCTACCGATTATCCCCTACATTTACCGTCGTTTCCCACCTCGTCGCAAATTCTGAAACCCGACAAAAATTTGAACCATTTCTGGATTGATGCGTAACCATTTCTCGATTGATGCGTATCATCCTTACAAAAGGGCCCATGCTAATCTTCTCTTTCTCTGTATCGTTCCAATTTTGACGGATGTCCATAAGAGGGTGATTGCCTAAGAAGCCACTACGGAAGTGAAAGAACAACAACAAAAAAAAAAAAAAAAAAAAAAAAAAAAAAAAAAAAAAAAAAAAAAAAAAAAAAAAAAAAAAAAAAGCAATGCAACACCCAAACAAAAACCAGACAACAACGAAACCACACCTCACGACATGAGCAGCGAAGGATGAACGTGAGACTCAGTGCACACGCCGCAAAGGCGATAGCCATAACCAACCACCAAGCTTCGACTAAATGTAGGTCACAAACGCAGAGTACATTAGCATAGTAGTCTTAAAAAAAAAAAAAAATCAACAGACATTTTTACCAGCCGGAATGCCAGATACGCATACAGATCAACAGCTGGGCCTGTCACGTGGTTGTATAGTACACACTCAGTTGTCACCTACCCCAAAACAGATAAACAGTTATCATGCCTGCCCCGTGGTTCTATCGCACACTCAGCTGTCACATACAAGACGAGAGTTCAATTCCTGTTCCATACACAAATCACGCTAGTCGCTATCACGTTAAGAGGTACATCCAAAAGCCTACTTGCGACTACTTGTAGCTGCCCGCGTCATTGGATAGTGCACTCCGCTGTCACCTACCACAGGATAGTTCGATTCCTGTTCCATACACAAATCCTGCTATAGGTGCAACGACGTCAAGAGGTACATGTACAGCCAAAAAACAAAAACTCGCCACTACTTGTCTGTCTGTCTGTCTGTCTGTCTGTCTGTCTGAGGCTAAGGTAATTATGTGCTGTTACAGTGTTAAGGACTCCCGGACCGATGCAATTAGAGACTCAGATGCCAAAAGAGAGGACTTCGATGTTCCATCTAAAACGACAAAAAGCCTACCGTCTTCCCCCGAACATAACGCACTCTGAAAATGAACGTATACAACGTATGTTTGCGTTCCGATACAGTCAAAATGAGGGCGCGTTGTGTTCGGGGGAAGACGGTAGTACTCGCGACTACATCCAAGAGCACTCAGATGTTGACGATTGTGATGGTTTTTGTTTTTTTTGTTTTTCTTGTATTGTGATGTTAAACACCCCAGTGACTCTGAGTCTATGATGCTAAGACAACGCAGCCGGAAAGGAGGGGGGGAAAAAAAAAACAGAAAAAAAAGGATCGAATCGGATGACGAGTAACTACGGTGTTAAAAACTCCGGTGTTGGCAACTCTACTATTACAAACTCAGTCGGAACAGAGACGCAAAATCGGTCTAGGTGCGCAGTACAGGACAGTCGATAGGGCTTTTGGCCTCGATAGTTACCAGTCGGAACAGAGACGCAAAATCGGTCTAGGTGCGCAGTACAGGACAGTCAATAGGGCCTCGATAGTTGCCGAGACGCAAAATCGGTCTAGGTGCAAACTCTAATCTTACCTTACAAACTCAGTCGGAACAGAGACGCAAGATCGGGCTAGGTGCGCAGTACAGGACAATATCAATAGGGTTTTTGGCCACGATAGTTGCCAGGGGGGTTGTATCTGCAGACGGCAATCTGTGCGTTGGATGTGCCACGCATGCAGGAGACGATAGCGCAACCGACTTCCTTGGTGTTTTGCCACACAACCTGCGTGTAGTGGCCGCACACTTTGCCTCCCGCACAGCTGTTGCTCGCGTAGTTGTAGTATTGCTTTTCGGACGCCCAGCTCTTCACAACCTCCGATGGCTTGATGCTTATCGATCTAGAACTCCAGGCCATGTACAGATTCTCGCCATAGCCGCTGTTCTGGGCGTGCTTCATCTCGCAGCTCTGCTTGAGCGTCGTCGCCCACGACTCCGCGGAATTTGCCACTGTGTCGCTCCATGTTAGTCCTCCCACACCCACCGCACTCCTCACTTGGTTGTGAGCACTCACCCACTCCTCCGCTTCCGTGGATTGAAGAAGACGCCCCTGTCGGGAACCTCCATGGCCGCTTCCTTTCCGACTAGACGTTGAACGACTGGACGTCAACGTTGACCGACTGGAAGTCAACGTTGACTCAGCCAAAACAAGCTTGGAGTGACGCGGATCGTCGGCGAACGCCGAGTCTGACTCGGAGTCTGACGCCGACCACTCTGCCGCACACTCAGCCGTTGCCTCGTCGGCAGAGTCTCCTGCTGCTGGCAGTTCTCCTCCTCCTCCTCCTCCTCCGCTTGCTCCTCCTGCGGCCATTGCCAGCTTCCTCCCAGCAATGCCCCTCGATTCTGTCGTGGATGCAGTAGCCAGCACAATCCTTGAACCTCCATAGTCGTCGCCGAGATGGCGACTGTCGCCATGTGTGCTCATTGCCGTCACGACGAGAAGGGGCAGCGCCAACCAAAAAGCCAACGAGCCGATGGCCTGGAGGCTCACCGCCCCCCTCACACCATGCACGTCTCCCGTCATCGTGACAATTATGACGATTCGACGGCGGCTGGGGACTTACTCTCTTTCTGTCGTCTACTCCGTCCTCCTCTCCTCTCGTCCCGTCTCTTCACTGTCAGGTGCTCTCCTGCTGTTTTCCTTGTTTGCCTTCTCTCCTGTTCTCTGATCTGCTCCTTGTGCTTCCTCTTCTCTGATCTCCTCTTTCCCCCTCCTCCTCCCTTCTCTCGCGCTCCTTTCTGTTCAGTTCACCTCTTCCGCCAGAATGCTGAAGTTCCAGCAGGAGCAGTCTGTTTGTTCGGGCATTCGATGCACTCTAGCATAGTACTCGTGGAGCCAGTCGAGAGGGAGGCGGAAACTCGCCGGTGAGTCAGCAGAAGACTGTCAGCCGTTGTCTTCCACGAGAAACTATAAAACGCGTCACTAGCACGGACTCAAGTGTCTCAGCGCGTGGCCCCACAGACCCGGCGTCTCGGCGGTCGGGTGAGACTAACTAAGCAGTTGTTGGCTGCTTCGGCGCCCGGCGTCCACAGACCCGACTGCTGCTGACGAAAGTCGCAATGCCATGAAGACCCGACTGCTGGGTCTGCTGCTGAGGGAAGTCGCAGTGCCATGAAACCTATATAGGAACTGATGACAATCTACGAACAGTTCGGAAACTGCGGCGGCTACGTGCGTGCGGCGCCAAAAACGGTCCACCCGCCGCTGCTGTGTGTACGGAAAGCCCGCCAAAAAGTCCATGTGCAGGGGTGAAGTCCCACCGCCCAAGTTCAGTTTAGAAAACGCAACCGTGTGACACCATTTTGACATTAATAAATTCGAAACAAAAATAAAAAAACTGAAAAAAAAACGCTAGAAACAGCTTTTCTCCTTATTTTTGATGAAGTAACTCGTAGAAAGGAAACACGTCTGGCACAGTCGGAGTGAATGTCTCCGTGCAAAAAGGGTACCTCCCGTGGTGAGGGGACCGGAGGTCACCATTCGTAAAATGGACAGGGACAACAGGGATGGCCAGATGCGTTCATTGCCCAAAGAAGGAAGAGAGTTTGATGCGAGAGATCCAAACACAGCTGTCAGAGTTCCTCGGTTTCAGGGTGTAATTATATCTATTAAAAAAAAAAAAAAAAGGCATATAAGTTGAGAAATGTACCCTACACTCGGTAGGGTAGTTTTCTCAATGGAAAATGGCTTCCCGCCCAAACCAAAAGGGCCAGCGCATACTACAAAACGGATTTCACGTCAAAGAAAAATTCTACAAAATGACCAAATCTAATAGGTTATTCTCCTGTATTTCGGTACCCTTAGATTCTCAATACATCAACGGCAGAGCTCCGTCCCACCATGCCACACGTGATAGAAAGCTCCGCGTTGAGAAAACTCAACTTCGGCGGTGGGACACCCCAGGGAAACTCCGGCAGAAAGTGTTTTTTCTTTTTCTTCCTAGAAGGGTAATTCTCTTATTTATTATTGTTGTTTTTTTCTAACCAGAAAACCCGTATTTTCATTACAAAAACCAATAAGAAGAGGCCGGGGACCTCACAATTCAACCCGGGGCGAGGTCCCACTAGCAAAGACGATCGGGATCGAAGGCCTGAATCTGGACGGGTTTGTGGAGATGTGCAGGAAATCGAGATTGAACTGCTTTTCTGCATCTGTGCTTTCACCACGTCCAGATTCAGGCTCTAAATCCAATCATCTTTGCTAATGGGACCTCGCCCCCGGTGTTATCCCGACCGCATCAGCCGATTTAGCTTAGGAGGTTCACTGTCTGTAAGGTCCGGGGGCTAGGTCCCACTTACACGAATGAAGCGATATTGACCGTAAAAAGCGATCAACGGCCAGGATCTCTTAATCTGTGCAAGTGGGACCTTGCGCCGGGTCGTCTAAGACCCACCACCCTACTTACTCATTACGATCGAAAAGTACTCTTAGGGGTTACCTGTTCTAGTCCCGGAACATACTATTCCCGTAGGAACTACTTTTCCCCAGTAACTTTCCTCCTAATAGTATTAGTTTACTTTTCCCCAGTAACTTTCCTCCTAATAGTGTTACTTCCCTTCAGCTCTGTTGTCACCGAATGAATCCCAAAGCGAGTTGAATGACCAGCTATCCAAACCATTACTAATATCTAACCTGGGGCGGGCCTAAGGCGGCCCTACAATTACAATGGAGAGTACCGACCTCTCAGTTTTCCTGTTGCAGCCACCTGGCTAGTTGCAGCTTCCCTTCTACGGAAATACTTGCCAACATACCAGGGCTATATAGCCCCAGCCCTTCGTTAAATCCATCGCATCTGGGTCCGAGTCATACCATTCGTGAGACCAAACGAAGGCCTGCTTTGTTATTCCCTTCCAGTGGTATATCCACCATTGCCAGACATCATTGGCCAGCAGACAGTATAAACACAAAGGGGATGTGGACTCCCACCCCCAGCGGCATCGTGCGCAAGACTCAGAGATGTTCACATACCTCGTGAGGACAGCCAAACTGCTGAGGGTGTCACCAGCAGGGACTGAATCCACATAATGATCGCCTGTTTCTGGGAGGGAATTCTCTTAAATGCCTTGTGACGCCCAACCTCACCGCCCGCGCGACTTCCTGATCAGAGTGGGATGGGGGCCCTGAAGTGCGAAAAAGGGGGTGTGCCAAGGATTTTAGGAAAGTGGGGGTGGAGTTCCAGGTCGGAACTGAAATCTCCTGTGCCAAGTCTCAGGGGTAGTTGTGCAAAATAGCCAGCGCGGGCCGCATCTGACTTTTATGCCCTGGGGGATGTCATCGCCATCCCCGCGAGTTCCGTTGCCGAGGCCGGGCTCGGATTTGATGAACCGGCGGAACGCTATGCATGTCACACTGCCCGATTAATCGCTAGCGTCGCTCATGACAAGCCTCGGAGTCGGACGATGCAGGCCTCAGGCGTAGGCTGTGTGCTCGCTGCTCGGCCTCAGTCCGGGTCTGCCGAACAAACCCCGCGGCTCGGTACTCGCTGTCCTGCTGGCACTTGGAGCATGGGGTTCGAGGCCAGTAGGGGGCCAGCGCGTGCCACGGGGCCGTCGTTAAACAGTGAAAAGGCAACACGAGGCCGTAGGGAGGGAAGTCTGTCTCAATGATGACAACACCGGGTTCGGCGACGACATGTGACGCTCAACCTCACGCCCTGCGCTGTCTTCCGTTCGGAGTGTTTAAATTGCGGAAGGGGCCCCAGAAAGAAAGCAAGATGGGGTGTACCAAGGATTTTTGGAAAGTTGAGTGCGGGGACACAGACATAACCGATATCCCCTGTGCCGGTCCGACTTAGTAAGAAGGGGGAGGGTCTGTCACTGCGCGGGTTTTGAGGGAGAAAAAGGCGCACGCGGGACGCACGACGCGGGGAAGTTCAATCCGAACAACATTGCTGAACTTCCCATCGAGCCGCCGCTTTTCGTTTCGAATGAAAGGGGGCGGGCACGTACTTGGTATCCCGTTTCCGGGTCAAGTCCCGACGTCGCTTATTACACAACTCTGAATCTGACGTGGAAGGCCGTAACGGAGTGGCTCTTTCCTTATACTCATCTTCCTCTCGTACTCGGTAGTGAAAGCCCTTCGATTGGTAACGCTCGAAGCGGAGACAATCGTTGCACAGAGTGTTAGGCCAATGAGGCGCTACTGCTGACCACGGGATGACGATCAGCTCATTAAACGGCAATAGCAGCGAATAAGGCGGAAAGTGTGTGTCCACAATAACAAAACCAGCACCGACAAAGCCAGAGCATCGCGTTTCAGGAGGGAAGTAGTCTCTTCCGCCGATCTTGCGGACGACTTCTCGTACGTCCCACTCGCATACACCTGTCCTCTTCTCGTTTTACGGGAAGGGGCGTGGCGGGGATATACAGGAGGCCGACGCCCAGTTGGCTTGGGACAATCGGTCCACATGGCAACAACGAGATCCTATCTAGCTGATTCTAGCATGCAGTCCACGTGTCAATCACAATGGTTCCATGATCTAGTTGGAGACAAGTTCGTCAGGCAGTAACATCATCCAGGCATTCTCATTCATGTCTCACAAACATTTATCGAGGAAGGTGCGAAAATGACAGCCACGCAGCCTCCGTTCTCCGTGTGCTCCGCACCCCTTTCCCGTGACTGATTAGGCGTCAGTCAAAACAATCATCCCATTCCTCGTGTGTAATAGATCAACAAACATCCATAATCGTTCAGGTCATAGGGCGAGAGAGAAGGTAGGGAGGAAAAGACGCGGAGCAGACAAGATAGATGAAAATTACACCAAGATCCGATGATGAAAAAGAGTTTTCGGCTTAACTGCCATCAAACTGAACTCACTCCAAGGAATACATTCGAGATAAGGAGGCGCATCCGCCATGAAGTTCACTAATGGCCCCGGACCATTCATCCATTCAACTGCGATCATTATCCTCATGCATGCACTGACAATCCCGGCCGTCACGTGCCGCTTTCCACCACTGCGATCGTCACCCCGTCGACTTAGCCTCGACACGGCCTGCCTGGATCCCACAGCCCATCGTGGCGATCAGGCGCACCGTCGGCCAGGCTACAGTTAGCTCGTCATGACTTTTTGACTCGCACTCCACACATACCATCTAGCCACTGCTTCTCGGAAGCTGGCAGACGAGTTGAGAGAGAGATTTGCGGGCGCGCTTGCAAAATTTATAGTTGCGGAAAGGGAGGTAAGTACGAGGAAGGATGAAGGTTGAGTCAGGGAAGGGTAAGAGAGGACTTGGGGATAATCGCCCGGTGAAAGCCATGTTGATCCTACCGAGTCCGATCGCAGCCAATCAGAGTTGTCGCGTAATAGTTCTCCTTACACGACGCTTCTCCTTGGCTGAACAGCGATTTCGTCAAATTGAACATTTTTTATTTTTTTTGTACGAAATTGAAAGTCCACTCTGCTGCCAAAATTTGATGAAATTTTGGGTAGGGCGTTCTGAAAACGCCCTACCCCCTTGATGTTTTTGGACTCAGCCAGAGTCCAAATACATGCAGGGGGGTACGGCATTATGAAAACGCAGTACCCCCCTGCATGTATCTGGACTTCGGCTGAGTCCAAAAACATCGAGGGGGTAGGGCGTTTTCAGAACGCCCTACCCAAAATTTCATCAAATTTTGGCTGCAGAGTGGACTTTCAATTTCGTACAAAAAATAAAAAATGTCCGTTTTGACGAAATCGCTGTTGCTGGATGGAGTGAGGAGAGGATCGACTGGGCTCTTGGGCGTAGGACTCAGAGTGGGAGCGGGGTGACGACTCGGTGTTGGTGCGAGGCGACGGACCGCCCCCATCGGAGGTGATGTGATGTAGAGAGAGAGAGAGAGAGAGAGAGAGAGAAAGATAGATAGAGAGAGAGAGAGAGAGAGAGAGAGAGAGAGAGAGAGAGAGAGAGAGAGAGAGAGAGAGAGAGAGAGATGTGTGTGTGGGATGATGCCTTCCTCTAACCTTC